CCCTTACCTCCAGACTGTGGGCATTCGAGTCCATCTCTCTACCTGGCTGTCCAATAGGCAGCTCAGATTCCTAAGTCCGAGACTGTGCCCTACATCTTCCCCGCAGATGTCTCCCGCCCCCGCTGTCTTCTGCATCTTCGTAAGTGGCAGCTGGAGGCGCCCCCTGACTCCTGGCTTTCCTTCAAGGCCCTGTGCACATGGCCGAAAGCAGATGCCTTCCAACCATTATCAGCGTCTGCCCACTTTTCACCACTTCCAGCGCTATTTCTCTTGTCAGAGCTGCCATTACCTCTTACCTGGACAAATATAATAGACTCTTTAATAGATCTCCCTGCCTCTGAGAGCCTGTTCCCCACAGGGCAGCCAGAAGGATCATGTTAACACATAAATCAGCTCATGACCCTCTGCTCTGAGACCTCCTGCAGCTCCCAGCTTCCTTAGCACGAAAGCCAAGCCCTCACCATGGCCCGCAGTCTGGGCACAATTTGCCCCCACTCCCTCTCTGCCCTCAGCCCTCATCTCCTGCCCTCTCCCCTTCCAGCCAGTGGTCCCACTGCTGTTCCCCCAACACTTCGGGGATCTCTCTCACTTCAGGGCCTTTGCACTTGCTTTTCTCTCTGCCTGGAATACCCTGCCCCAGACACCTATCAGGCTTGCTGTGTCTCTGTACTCAGGTCTTATCTCACCTGTCACCTCCTTAGGGAAGCCTTCCCTGGCTACCCTGTCTAAAAGAGGCCCCCATCTGGTCCCTCTCTATCCTGCCTCAATCTCTTTTTCCTTGTTCTTCATAGCACTTAGCACTCCTGGGTATCATATTTTATATGTATTGATTTATCATCTCCCCACATGAATTCCACAAGGGCATGGCTTCATCTGTCTGTTCACTGCTGCATCCCAAGTGCTTAATACTTTCACTTTTTTATTTCAAAATTACTATTTTTTTTTCTTTTTTCATGGAGGTACTGGGGATTGAACTCAGGACCTCGTGCATACTAAGCATGTGCTCTACCACTGAGCTAACCCATCCCCCATCCCCAGTGCTTAGAACTGGGGCCAAGCTCCCAGGAGGTGCTCAGAGAATTTTTGCTTAATGAACAGGCAAACAAGGACAACAGGCCCCCCCCCCCTCGCCGTGCTCACCTGCAGCTGGGCCAGGATGTGATGGTAATGGAACAAGGTACAGAAGTCCACATGGGCAGCAAACTCCTCCAAAGCCGCTTTATCCGCAGGACTGGAATGGAACTCCTGTAACCTCAGGAAGCAAAACTTCTCTTTAGGCCTCTCCCTTCTTCCCTAGGGGCAGAATTCTTTCCCGGGCAGCCCTAACAGACAATCAGAGCTCTCAGCTCTTTAAAGTGTTGTGATTTGTTGTGCTTTTTTCGGGGGTGGGGTGGGCACTGATCAGTTTTACTGACCAAGAAACTGAGGTAGCCTCAGAGAATGAAAAAGGGATGGCTTACAGAGCTAGACATTCAAGTTCCCGCTTTGACATTTACTGGCCGGCATTGACACAATGCTTATTGTGTGCCAGGCACTGTTTGCCAGCATGATATCATCCCCCATAGGATGCAAGGAGGCTGATGGAATTATAACCCTCATTACTCAGAGGGGACCCTGAGGTTCAGGAAAGTCACTTACTGAGGACCACACTGTCTCTGTAAAGAGAAGCTTGAGACTCCAATCTGGGCCTGTCTGACTCCAGAGCACGCATATTTAACCACTTTTTTATATTTCCTACCTCGGTGCCCTGGGTGAATGTCATCACCTCTCTGAGCCTGTTTCCTTATTGGCAACAGAGGCTCACAACCTCTTTCTCAAAAAAGCAATGGTGAGAATTTGATGTGATTATGTGTGCCTGTATACATACCTCTGTGTTCCTGTGTGTGTATATCTATTTGTGTGTGTGGTCAAAGTCCAGCATAGGACTTAGTCCCTACAGAGGTATTTAATTAATAATCTTAAAATTTATTTATTTATTTATTTATTTATTTATTTTTAATGGAGGTCCTGGGGATTGAACCCAGGACCTCATACATGCTAAGCATGTGTTCTACCACTGAGCTGTTTCCCTCCCTCTAATCAATAAGTATTAAATGAATGAATGATAATCCAGAATAGTCACAAGGGTCATAGTAGCTTAAGCTTGGGAGCAGGGCCAGGACTAAGTAGATGCAAGTGAAGCAACTAAGGTGCAAAATTTAAAGAAGGCGCTCACTCTTACACTCACGCAAGTGCCTACTTGCTTCACCCTAGTCCCTGCCCTGCTCTGGAATTAGACTACTTCGGTTCAAATCTGGGTCACTAGTCATGACCTTGGGTGAATCACTTTCCTTCTCCTGCTTCAGTTACCTCATTTGTAAAATGGGCATGATGGTTGTACCTCTTTTATTGGATTGTTCAATAATTCAAGAATACATGGAAAATGCCTAGCACAGTGCCATGTAGTAAGAGCTCAAATAGTGTGATATAATTATGACAGCTGCGTAGCTATAATTATTAGGTAGTAGCAATAGTAATGATGAGGATGATTATTATACCCATTTTGCAGAGGAAAAAACCAGGCCCCAGCAAGTACTTGTTCTAGCCTCCAGTACAAGCTAGAGGCTGGAGGGGGAAAGGTATATATAGCTCAAGTGGTAGAGCGCATGCTCAGCACCCAAGAGATCAGGGGTTCAATCCCCAGTACCTCCTCCAAGCAGAAATAAATGATGAAACCTAATTACCTCCCCCTCATAAAACAAGCTAGCGGCTGAAATTGCTGCTGCATCTGCATCTCAGAGGTCTGTCCCCTGCATTCCAACTCACGCCATGCCCACTTGGGGGGGGGCCGGTGACGTGAACGCGAACTACAACTCCCAGTGGGCGCCAGGGCAGCCTTCTATAGCATGAAGCGCTACACTGCCGCGAGGCTTGCCGGGAGTCGTAGTCCCCAGGCTCTTGGACCCGGGGCGGGCAGGTACCTGTATCAGGAGGCGGAGCAGCTGCTCCTTGGAGAACGGGATGAACCGCTCGCGGTACTGCTGGGACCAGTCGCGGGGTTCCGTGGGGTTCCACATCCTGCGGTACTCCCCCATCTTGGCCGCCAGCGATGACACGGCCCGGGGGTGCCCAAGGACCGTGGGCAACAGGGGCCATACTCGGACCCTGGATCCCCAGACCCCCCGGGTCATATGCAGCATAGCCAGACCCTTTCCCCGGAGCCTAAACGAGGGAAATAGGGCTGAGGTCAAAGGTCATTTGGCGGACAAGCGCCCTCTCCACCTCCAGGTCCCAACAGTTTCTACCCCAGGATGGGCTCAGAGCCCATCCACCATACTCGTAGGCCCTCCTGCCCGTCCCCTCTCACACTGTTCAGTTGGCCTGGGTCCCTGGCAGAGGTCAGAGGTCTTAGGTCTAGGGGCGTTTTGCGGGTCCCAGAAGCCCTGTGGTGGTACAACTGGTCTCTGCGGGGTCTAGGCGGCAGGTGGATCTTAAGAGCATAGGAGATGCTCAGAAGAATACAGAGGGGTTGCAGAGCCGCCCTCCCCCGGCCATGCAGCCCTTGACCCTTTCCCTCACCTTAGCCAACGCTCGACTGTCATTGAGCCTCCTGCGCATGTGCAGAAAAGCGTCCTGGGCCTCCGAAGTTCGGCTTCAGTTCTCAGTAAGACGCATGCTCAAAGCCTGGGTCATTGAGCGGGTCCTATTTCTTCTAATGCCCTGTCTCGACTGCGCATGTGCAACCTTCTTGCGCCACACCCTTTCCTAGGGCTCAGCGCAGGCGCTGCAGAAGTATCTCCTTGTCCGCTAGCCTTAAAGGAAAAGGGCGGGGCGGGCGCGAGACTCCCGGGACGGCTGGGTCGGGGCAGACCCCCGCGCGCAGTCCGCCAACGGTCGGGCGGGCCAACGTCCGCTGAGGCCACGCCCTGGCTCGTGTCCCCACCCAAGTAGGCGGGGAAATAGATGGGCGGGGATTTGGCGCAGCCAATCATCTGTGGAGGAAGGAAAAGGCGGGAAAAAGAGGAACCAAAAGAAGGCTGAGGTAGCGTCAGGGACCAAGCAGGGAGGGTGGGCGGAAGGAAGAGCAGGCCTCCAGGTGACGCGGGCCGGGCCTCCACAGTAAGGGTGACTCTTTGTCAGGCAGCATAATCCCCAAGCCTCACCGCCCTCGAGCCCCACCACCCCCATTCCACGTCCTTAAAGGGAAGACTCCATTCCTCTGAAGGTAGCTTAGTGCCGGGGGCACGGCCTCCTCAGTCTGAGGCGACAGCTCAGCTCAGAGCCCACATTTCCCACACATCTGAGGTCCAGACCCGCCACTTGAGGAAATGCACTTTGATGAAGATGGAGCTGAATTTCTAAGCGGGGGCCCTGATTCTTAAGGAAATCACCTCAAATCACAAGGACAACCTAAAATCTACCTGGAGATGCCTGGTGTCTCCACTGTGGGTGCTGTCACCCCAAAACCTGAAAGGGATCCCCTGATTCAGACCTCCTAGTGTTTCTAATCGCCATTCCAGCACCCCTGGTCCCTCGAAAATTCCTCTAACACTGTCCTTATAATGGGACCTCTGGCTCCTGGGTCAAGGAAATCACCCCAACATCCTGCCCCTTTTCCCTGGCCTGGAATCCCCTCGCCCTGCACCTCCACCTCTCAGGCTCTGGCCCCCTCACCCCACAGCCTGCATTCCTGACTCCTGGGACCCCCCAGCAGCCCCCTCACCCTGCACCCCTACTTCTAGAATTCTCAGAAGACCCTCACCCTGCAGCCCAAACATCATGGGATCATCAGCCATCCTTTTACTCTGTGCCCCATCTCTAGGACCCCCAGCAGCCCCTTCACCCCATGCACCGGCTCCTAAGGACCCTGGCAGACCCCTCCCCCTGACATAACCCCATTCCTGGGACCCCCCCCAGAACCCCCATCCCATGTCCCCTACTCCTAGGACCCCTGGCAGCCCCTTCACCCAATCCCTTGGACTCTAACCATCATCCCTTTCCCTCTTATCTTGCAGCAGCCAAGCCCCAGAGTGGGCCTGGAGCCTCCGGACAGTGGTGCCCAGCAGGCAGCACCCAGCATCCCTGCCTCAGCCCCCGGGGATCAGGGAAGCAGAGCAGTCACCATGCACATCCCAGAAAGCCTCCAGGACCTGGCCGACAGTGAAGCTGTGCAGTTTCTCAAGAGGCTAAAGACTATCACTCGGATCTTCGCAGGGGTGAGGCCCTCCTGTGGCCCGGCTGCCCCATGGGTGACCGGAAACAGGAGTTCTCACCTCTCAGACCCAGTGCAGAGGGAGTGGGGGGATAAAAGGGGTCCGATGGGGAGAACAAGGCAAAAGGGAGCTTGTAACTGAAGGCACTTTTTACTGAACATCTAATCATAAACCCTGCGCTATTCTAAGCACTTATCAACTCTCTTGGGAAGAAATGACCCTTCAGAGTGGGTGCTGTGAGCCCCAGTTTTGAGATAAGAAAACTGAGGATCAGAGAAAGTTAAATAATTTTTTAAAAGGCTATGCTGGCCAATGGGGTAGCCACAGGCCACATAGTGGCTATACTAATTTAAACCAATTAAAATAAAACATTCTGTGCCTCAGTCACAGTGGCCACATTTCAGGTACCCAACAACCACTGTGGCTGGTGGCTCTCATACTGGACGGTAAGGATCTAGAACATTTCCATCAAGGTGGAAAGTTCCACTGGACAGCATTGACTAAGGTCACAGAGTAGGAGGCGAAGCAGGGATTCAAACTGGGGTCTGTGAGATGCCAGAGCCCATTCATTTTCCACCTCTCAGACAATGGACCCGGAGAGGAGCAGGGGCTGGGAGCTCTGGGAAGAAAGATATACACAGAGGTCGGAAGAAAATATGTAACACAGACCTAAGATATCAGGGGCTAGGTGGGCGCTGTGTCGGCCACTGTGCCAAGCGAGACCTACACCTGCATTCATTTCATCATTACCACATTCCCAAAGAGTCAAGATGCCTGGGGTCAAATCCTCATTCAACCCCAGACTTTGCTGTGTGACCAAGCCAATCACTGCCCCTCTCTGGGCCTCAGTACATGAGGGGTTAGAGTGGTGACTTTGGGCTTTATGCTGTGCTGCCTCCCTTGCCCTCCTCTGACAGAGTTGGGAACTGAGGCCCAGGGAGAAGATGAGATATGATCAGAGTCTGGGGCATAGGAGGGGTACCCTGGATTGAACCTAGGGTCCTAATCCAGGATGGATCGGGCCCGGCTGAGCATCTTAGTCTGACCCCATGCTCTCCATGTACAGCGACATTCTCCACTGCTTGCCTGGGTCACTCCTGGCGTAATTATCAGCAGCACCACTTTTCATTCTCAAAAGTGCCCCGTTTTTTTGTTTTAGATTTTTTTTTTTTGGTGGCAGGTAATTAGGCTTATTTATTTAATTTTTTTAATGGAGGTACTGGGGATTGAACCCAGGACCTCAAGCATGCTAGGCACGTGCTCTACCACTGAGCTATCCACCCTCCGCAAGAGCCCTGTCTTATTTGATAACTTCTCGGGTCACCCGAGGTCTGTGTGACCTTGAGCAAGTGACTTGATTTCCCTGAACCTCTCTACCCTCCTGTATCTAGTCCTTCCTGCTCACCAAGAAAGACTGTTGTGAACATGATACAAATTAATGCCCCTAAACTGATGAGTGTGGGCCTGACCAGTCGTAATCTTTTCTCAAATAGCAATTATTATTGGGACAAACCATGACCTGCGATGAAGGAGAGAGAGGGATGTGGGGGGCAGAGGGTGGTGGGGACTTGCGTCCACTGTCATCTCATCCAGGGGAAGTGGGGACTTAGGAATTCCACATCCCAGTTCCAAGTCCCTCCCCGGGGCCGGCTCTTCGGCTCCTTACCACGACCCTGTGACCTGGGTGTTATCACACTCGTTGGACACAAAGGGGAAACTGAGGCTCACAGAGGTTGAGGGACTCGTCCAAGGACATCAGCCAGTCAGCAAGCCAGTCAAAAGATGCTTCTGATGCTTCAGAAAGAAGGGCGGGTGGCCAGGGAGGAGGAGGCCCAGCTGGTGTGGACTGGAGTCAGGGAGGGTCGGGGGAGGGCCGCCAACCGGGCCAGACGTTCCAGTCATGGACTTTGCCTGCTGCCTCCATCCTCCCGCCCGCCAGCCCTCTCCTCCGGCCCCCCTGGCCCGGCTCCTCGGTAGGGAGTCTCTGGGCAGCTGGTGCTCTTGTCCTTCTCACGGCCGCCTGCCAGCTGGTGCCTTAACTGATGAATCCTTGCTCCCTCCCTGGGGACAGGATGGGAAGGGTGTGGAAGGAGGTTGGACTCGGGCTTCAGAGGGCGAGAGGTCTCCTCGGCCCAGCTGAGTTCCCGCTCCTTGCGTCTCCAGGGTGCCCTGGGCTGGCGCTGCCGCCCAAGGTTCTCGGGGTCAGTGGCCAGCCGGCCCATGGGCCTGGAAGGCAGGAGGCCTGGATTCCAATCCCCGCTCCCCGCCTCCACCGCTGACTGACCTTGAGAGGACACTTCCCCTCTCTGGGCCAGGCGTGAGGATGAACCTCAAGGCCAGGCACCCCCCCCTTCCCCGAGGCACAGAGGCAGACTGGGAAACTGAGTCTCCAGGAGGGGAGCGATCTATCTGCCCAAGGCCGCACAGCTGGTGGAGTCAGAAGCGTCTGGCTCTTTCCACGGCACCATAATGTCTTCGATTTATCACCTGTGAAACAACAATGAATTAGTAACCTGTCTCACACGGGGCTGGCATGAGGCTTCAGGGAGGTAGCGCCCGTCACAAATACAGGCTCAGAAATGATCAATGGGCCTTCCCGTCCTTGACCTGGCTCTGCCTCTGACCAGCAGGGCAAGATGCTCCCCTTCCACAGACTCAGCTCCTCAGCCCCGAATAGAGGATGGGTGTAAATACCCTCACTTAATGCTATGGTGCCGGACAAAAAGGGGGACTAGTGATTATTATTATTAATTTGGTGTGGGTTTGTTTTTGGGTTTTTTTTTTTTGGTGGGGACGGTAATTAGGTTTATTTTATTTATATGTTTGTTTTATTTTAATGGCGGTACTGGGGATTAAACCCAGGACCTCATGCATGCTAAGCACACGCTCTACCACCAAGCTACATCCTCCCCCTTCCCCTGTCTTTTTTCGGTTATTTTTGTTCAGAGAAAGCAATTAAGGCAAAGGAGAGTTGAAGATGAACAGAGGCCGAGTTTAGGGGTCAGTCCTTTGCCTCCCACATTCCCCCTTCCAAAGGGCAGAGCCAGAGCAAAACAGGAGAGCCAAAGTCATTCTCTTTCAACGCATGTGCTGAGGTCCATTCTGGTGCTGGGGGCCAGGCATGGAGAGAAGGGTCCCAGCTGGACCCTGTCCAGGAGGAGTTCAACTTCTGCTGAATTCCCTTTCCCTTGCCTACTCCCTCCCTCCGGTCCCCAACGCCACCGCATCCAATCAATTACCAAGTCCAATTTTACATCCTAAATGTCACCAGATTCCCCAGAGCTCCAGCCTCAGCGTTTCTTTCCGGACCCTCCCACCAATCTCCTCTCTGAGCTGTCGTGGCCCTCCCATCCATTGTAGCTCTGGAGATTGTCTCTAACTCCCGGGTCTGAACCAGGTCATCCTGTGCTCAGAACCCTTCCACGCATAAAGTAAAGCCCTAATTAAGACTTTAACTTTCCACGGCTCCCAAGTCCAGGCTCCTTGGTCTGGTGTCCAAGGCCTCCGAGGGTCTGGCTCCCACCCAAGTTTCCAGCCTCACCTCCCACCAGCTCCCTCAGATGGGATTTCTCTCCAGCCCCTGAAGGAGCTTCACTCTGAGGCAACTAGTTTTTTGTACACATTGTTCGCGCTGCCTGGAATGCCCTTACTCCCATATGCCTGGAAAACCTCTCATTCTTTAAGGTCCAGTTCAGAGCTCACCTTAACTTCCTCCTAAATTCTGCCCCCTGACTTTGGTGCCTGCTCAAACCAGGACTCTCCCCGACTGCAGGCCCCAATCTCCTCCCCAGCCTGCAGTCTTACCCACTCTGGTCCATCTCTACATGGCCCCAGAGGGGTCTTCAAACACCCAGAGCTGCCCCTGCCCTGCTCACAGCCCTTCCGTGGCGCCCTACTGACCCCTAGACAGCATCCAGTCTTGTAGCCTTCTTCAACCTGCCATGTTCCTTACAGGCACTGCCTCATCCAGGAAGACTTCCTGGACCAGTTCCCATCCCTCACAATGTACACACAGGGGTTCCTTCCACATCCGGGGTGGCCTTTGACACACTTCATTGTGACTGTCTGGAACCAATAATTGGGCTTCAGATTGTCTCTGAATCACAGTGATAGGGACCACTGCCTTCAAGGCGTCAGGTCCAGCCAGAGGCCATATATACAGCCAGGGCTTAAGGCGGACTCAAGAGCCAGGCAGCTTGGGTTCAGATCCAGGCCCTGCCCCTTACTTGCTGACTAACTTTGGGCAGTTCCTCATACTCTCTGTGCCTCAGTTCCACTACCTAAAAAAACAGTGCTGTTCATAGTGCCCACATCCTAGGGTGGTGTAAGGATGACATGGGCTAGGGCACGTGGTGCAAGTACATCGGTAGTTTAATAAATAAACCGGGTAAAAGACAAGGGTAGGCGGGGACAGCGTGCTCTGGTGTGCTGTGCGCAGCGTGGCGGATTCGGGGGTCAGTACCGTCTCAGTGAGGCTGTATTTGCTTTAAAAAAAAAATCTTGAAACAGAAGATTAATATTTGTTAGGGACTGAATGTTTGTTATAGTCCTCTCTACACTTTTCTGTGCCTTTTTAAAAATTTTATTGTTGTATAATTTCTGTACTGTAGACTACACATATTTGAGATGCATAATTGGATGAATTTTGATAGATGTACACACCTATGAAACCACCACCACGATCAAGATAGCTAACACTCCCATCACTCCCCAAGAGGTGCAAATTTCAAACTCTCAGTTTATCCCTTTCCAGCTTCTTTTCTGTGTCTTTGGAATATTGCAAACACACACACAATCTTTTTTAATTGAAGTATAGTTGATTTACAATGTTGTGTTATTTTCTGGTGTACAGCATAGTGATCCAAAAAAAGGTATTTTTAATGGAGAGAAATGAGCTAAGCCTGAGGGAGGAGGAGGAAGTTGTAGGCAGAGGGAAGAGCTCGGAGGCAGAGAGAATCAATAGGACAGCAAATCCGTATTGCCCTGTCTTCCTAGGTCCCGGGCACTGTGCTAAGCATTTCATATTGGTATTTGGGTTTGGTGGCGTGTCCCCGTGTGGGATGGCAGAAGGGGAGAGTGACTGGGGATAGATGAGGGGCTGGGACTCTGTCCTGATGGGTCCTGGGAGCCATGGGGTGGGGAGCTGTTGAGCCAGGAGGGGTGGGGTGCAGAAAGACACCTCAGGGGCCATATAGGGGACACAGGCTGAAAGGGCAAGACTTGGAGGCAGAGAGGCCAGGGAGGAGGCTGGGGCAAGCATCCAGGGGGGAGGATGAGGCCTGAGTGGAGGGGTGACAGAAGGGATGGAGCTTGGAGGCTCTGAGGATGTGATAGGGAGGGAGGGGACAAAACCACACAGTGGGTGTACAGCCTGGCTGGCCCAGTGATGGGGAGCCTGGGGGGAGGAGTGGGTTCCAGGAGACGCTGAGCTCCGCTCCCACCCCTGGGAATCCTGCTTCCGCACCCACAGGTCTTCTCTCTCATCGTCTTCTCCTCCCTACTGACCGACGGCTACCAGAACAAGACTGAGTCTTCACAGCTCCACTGCGTCCTCAACAGCAACAACACAGCCTGCAGCTTCGCTGTGGGGGCCGGCCTCCTGGCCTTCCTCAGCTGCCTGACCTTCCTCGCCCTGGACGCCCATGAGAGCTGCATCGCCAACACCCGCTTCAAGACGGCCTTCCAGCTCCTGGACTTCATCCTGGCTAGTGAGCCTCACCCCACTCCCGGGCAGGGCCCACCCACAGCTGCCCGACTCCAGCTCCCAGCAACCCCCCCCCGGCTCCCCAGGGCCCCAGGACACTGCCCTCGGCCACCCAGCTGGCCTCTGACTGTCCTCCACACTGCGTCCTCCCTGGGGAATTACTGCCTACCCCTTACACTCAGTGTCAGGGTCACCTCTTCTGACCCCCAGGCTAATTCTAGAATCCGCTCTTCTGCATAGCTTTTTCCTCCCAGTCACCTCCCTTCTTCACAAAATTTCTTGAAAATCCACCAGTGGCTGGAGGAAGGGTACAGACCCAAGTTTGAAATCTCGCCTCTGGTGCCTCCTTGCTCAGTGAGCTGGAATGGGTCTCCTCCTCACAGAAGCTGGGATGAAAACCCCCACCTCCAGGGCTTTTCTGAGGATGAAAGAAGAGAAGGGACTGTAGTAATGTTGACATTTACCAGGCACATCCCACAGGGCAGGCAGAGTCGAGGGCTCCATGTGCCCCATCTCATTTCTTTCTGAGAACCACCCGAGGAGGTAAGTCCTATTCAGATCCCCATTTTACAGAGGAGCAAACTGAGGCTTGAGGAGGGTAGGGAATTGGGCACACAGCTGCCAAGCCCAGATCCAGGCTTCTGAGCCCAGCCTGGCCTCCTAACCAAGGCCAAGCACCTTAGCTAGAGCCCAGCACATAGTAAGCACCAAATTAACGCACATCCCTTCCCCTCAGGCCCCAGGCTCCTTTCTCACCTCTTCCACACCTGCCCAGTTCCTGCGTCTCCAGGCTGGGAGGGCCCCTAAGGGTCACTGAGTCCAGTGCTGTCCAAGAGAACTTTCTGTGACAGTGGGAATGTCCCCAGTGAGGGAGCCACCAGCCACGTGGGGCTACTGAGCACCTGCAGAGTGGCCAGTGCCACCAAGGAGCTGAGTTTTTTTAAATTCTATTTTAATTGATTGAAAATGTTAATTGATTGAAATGTGAAAAGCCTCAAGTGGCTGGTGACCCCTGTCATGGACAGCGCTGCTCCACGCCAGGGTGCTTTAGAGAGGGCTGGTGGGGAGAGGCCTCAGTGAGACCCCAGGCCCCACCCACCACCCCCAAGTCCCCCCTTCCACACTTCAGCCACCCCTCCTGAGCATGCTTTCTCTCCACCCCTCCCCCCCGCCTCTCTTCTCTCCTGCAACCCCCCAAGTCCTCTGGGCAGGCATCTGGTTTGTGGGATTCTGCTTCCTGGCCAACCAGTGGCAGCATTCGCAGCCCAGACACTTCCTCTTGGGGAGCAGCAGCGCCAAGGCCGCCATCGCCTTCGCTTTCTTCTCTGTCCTCGTCTGGGTGAGGATGAGCCCTGCTCCCCAGGCACCCTCTGCAGGGCAGGGGGGTAAGAGGGCTGGAATGTTCCCGCTCTCACCCAGCTCCCTGGGCCTCCGCCAGCCCCTTCTGTGACTTTGGGCAAACCGGGAAGAAGGCGCTCCTTCCTCTGAGCAGACACAGCCCAGCTTTAGGTGACATGCTGGTGCCCTCGTCCAGTGAGCTCTGGACACAGCCGTCCTCCCCACCAGGCCAGCCTCCAGCCCCAGTCCCTCTCCTCCCCCGCCCTGCCTGAGCCAGCCTTCAGCTCGCCCTCCTCTGCCCACAGGTATTCCAGGCCTACCTGGCCCTCCAGGACCTCCCGAATGACGCTCTAGTCCCCTACAAACGCTCCCTGGACGAGGGCAGCGTGGTGCTGACCTCCCTCTCCCCGCCGTCGGCTGCCAGCCCAGTCAGCACGCCCCCCACGGGCCCCCACGGCCTGAGCTATGCCAGCTCTGCCCTGCCCCCCTATCTGACCACTCCGAAGGCCCCCCGCCTCACTATGATGCCCGACAACTAGACAGCCTCACCCACATCAGTAAAGAGATAATCCTCCCTCCAGAAGGGTTTCTGAAAACAGCCCTCTGTCCTCCTGTCTGTTCCTCTCTGGTCCCTCTAGTGGCCGGGGGTAGGGGGAAATCCAACAGGGTCTTCTCAGGGGTGTCTGCAGCGGGTCCCATTTCCCTACTGCCCCCCAGACTCTCCATCGGGGCATCCCCTTGACAGTGGCAGATGAGAGCCAGTGGCAGGAAGGAAACACTTTTGGGCCTATTACACCGCGAGCCGTTTTCTCCTCGCACTGGCCACGGGAGGGAGGCACGAGGTGGCCCCCTGTACAGCTGAGGATGCTCAAGTTCAGAGAGAAGATGCTACCGCCCGCAGAGGGGGCCGACACTGGGACCTGCCCTGTCGCTGAGCCAGGGCCCCACGCCCTTAAACTCACCCCAGGGACAAGGGACCCAACTCAAAACCATGCTGTGTGAGGAGTCGTTTAAGGAACAGGGAATGGCAAGTCCGTGACCGAGATGAGGGGAGACCCTTGTCTTCAAATATCTGAAAGACAGTCTTGGGGAAAAGGAAGGAATTGTATTCCAGAACCCCAAAACTAAAGGGGCCCCCAGCATCCAGCACCACAGACCCGGGGTGTCTAGAGCAGTGCTGTCCAATAGAAATCGAGTGTGAGCCACAGGGGGCTGACTTTAACTTACCCACCTCCCCCATGAACAAAAGTAGAACAAAACAAGTCAAATGGATGTTTATTTTATTTTACCCAATATACCCCAAATAGTATCATTTCATCATGTCATCAGTATAAAAACCACGAGCCAAGTATCCTACATTCTCGCACACTCAGTTTTTTAAATCCTTCCCCTTTATTTACAAGGTGACACCTCAGTTTGGGCTTGCCACATTTCAAGCGCTGATGGTCACGTAGCTAAAGGCTACCATAGTGGACACTGCAGCTCTAGAACCTTCTGGTTTTTCTAGAACAACCAGAAATCTGTTTCTTTTGATGTGGATTGGTTGACAGTGAATACCAAAAAAAAAAAAAAAGCTGTATGTTACACAGGCCAAACAAAACACCCACACAAGGGCCACAGGGGAACCCGAGAAGCAATCATTCACAAACTGGACAAAGGGGTATGAGCCATGGGGAGTCAAATATGGGCTCCGTGGTCCCTTTTTTGGTTTCCTGTGTGGCAGACCCCATGCTCAGTGCTGAGGGTGCAGAAATAAACAGGACATGGTCCCCATGCACATCTGGAGAGAACAGCTGCAGTGCAGTGGAGTGGGCAGTGTTCTGGGCTGGGAAACGGGAGGACTCGGAGCTCTGGTCCTCACTCGGTCACCAGCTGGATCACCTGGGACAGGTCACTTAATTTCTCTGGGCCCGAGTTGGGCTGGCAGTCAAACCAGAGACTTGGATCAGATTTAGATTGATAGTTTGCAGGTTGCGTTCAGAGAGGTGCCCTTCCCAACCCTAAATCAACCCAAGCAGCCTAGTTCCAGCGTCTTCCATGTCAGGCTTCTGGGCAAATTCCTCTAAACAGAAAGAGAAAAGAAAGGAGAGAAAGGGAGGAAGGAAGGAGGGAAGGAAGGAAGGAAGGACAGTTGAAAAACCCCACAGCAGTGGCTGAACACATAGGCTCCGGCAGCAGGAAAACCGGGCAGGTGCGAACCCCACCTCTGCCACTCGCCCCACTAAGCCTCTCTCCTCCTCCGCAGTAAGGGCGCTGTGAGGGTCCCATGAGCTCCCCTCCTGCAACATACATTGCCTTGTGTTTCCAAAATGCTCTCAGAATGCTGGCTATCCGCCTCCTGAAGCTCCCAGAGCCGTCCTACAGGAGAGCTGGAGGCGGTTAAGGAGGTCTAGGCAGACATCTAGGGGATCTGCCTAGATCAGGGGGCAAAACTCCAAAAGCTTACAAGGGCCAGGCAGGTTACACGAGTGAAGGAAACAGGCCAGGTGTGAAGCCAATCTGGAAGAAATGGAAAAGGTCTGACTTTCCTTCGACCTCCACAAAACGAAAACAAAACCTGACAGCGTCAGCCCATAATCGATGGTAACACTTCAGCCAAGTCCTGGGGACTTTGGGGGACTGTGGTGGGGAGGGGTGCAAAGCTCGCATCCCAGCTATTCACTCCAGCCATCTGCTGCCACCCAGAAACGAGGACCCGGCATTGTCAGATTGATGGATTTTTTTTTTTTCAAAAGAAGCCAGAAACCCTGGTTTGAATGTGAAAATCTGGTTTTCAAAGGCTGGCAACCAATTCCTTTTCTTTTTAAAGAAAACATAAAGGAGCTCAACAAAATGCAAAATGATGGGGGACGGCGGCTGCCCCCGGATGACTTTCAAATCACAGGTTCTAGAAGGTCCTCCGCAACCCTGAGATTACAGAGAATTGTCAGGGCAGTTCTGTGCCAAGATAAGAAGAATCTTTGGGATTTTTTAAATTTCTCCAAAACCTCTTCCCCAGTGGAGTCCTAAGGAGTCGGGGTGCAGCTCAGAGTCTTGGGGAGACCCCGTTTCTTATCTTCCTGCCCCTCCCAGGCCCGGGTCTCCTGTAGATGGTGCACGGGATAGAGCAGAGGCAGAGAGAGGGGCTGGGGTGGCGGGTGGGGGGACCCCACAAACACCAGAGAGAGAGCAAGGAGTAGCAAAAGAGAGGCATCATTTTCCTCTGTTTATTTCAAGAGAACAAAGAATCAACCATCAATTCGGTACAAAAACGTGGCGGTAGAGCTGTGGTGACCCTTGGGCCAGCCCCCTGCCCACGCCCACCTAAATTGCCAAAAAAAAAAAAAATAAAAAACAAAACCACTGAGGACAAGACCCCAAAACCCAAACTCTGGGGAAAAAGTTATTATGA